CATCATCAAGATGTCCAACGCCCTGCGAGGTTTGTCAGCAAGTGGACTTGTGAGTATTGGAAGATACCTGCCTGTCGGATCGATCGATACGAGAAAGATGCGGATTGTACATGGTTTTTAAGATAAGTTCGTGAACGATCACCCGAGTCCCGAGTCCGAGTGAGGGTCTCAAGTTCCTCAAGATCTCGACGACTGCATCGTCGGACCAATTGTGCAGCACGAACCGAAAGAAGAAGGCTTTCACGTTCATCGCCAGCTGCGGTTCGAAAAAGCTGTGGGCTCGGAATGAGACGCGGTCCCGCACGTCTTCGGGGAGTGGTTCAATTGTGTTCTGTTCCGTGACAGCCGGGAGGTCTTGCACTTCGAACGTAAGGCCGGGAAAGTTGCGGGCGAGGGTAGCTGAGACGAATCCGGACGATCCGCCAACCTGACATGCTAGTATCAGCCTCCTCTCCACCAGATGTCTCGGGGACTTACATCCACCACGTGGCCCGGACATAACTTCTGCCAGTTGAATCCATGGACCACTTGTCCTACGTCGTACTCTCCCCCAGCACTGAAGGCTCTCATGCTAGCGGCGAAAAGCTCTGGACCTTCCGCCCTGTTATTGACAGCATCAAACCACTGTCGTCCTTGCAGACACTTCCGACCCATTGGCTGGGCGAAATGTTCCAGAATCGGGCCCACAAAGAGTCCCAGAAGGGCCTGCATATCTTTGTCATGGGCCAACGAGGTGGACAGCGTCGTGTGTGCGACCCGACCGGATGATACATCAAAGATACCGAACGTTGCGGAGTGGCACAGAAACCGCGTTGTGGTGTCCACGCTTGTCCTTGTTTGCCGGCTTAGGTCCTCGAATGAGATTGTGGATCCTGCATCGAAGGCGTTGAGCATGTCGTGTTGGTAGATGTATTTCAGTGTGAAAAAATCATTGATCTCAAGAAGCTTGTTCCTGAAGGCAGCATTCATGTCCTCCATTGTCACAAGAGCTCCTGCGGCTCGATTGTCTCGAACGCTGAATCTTCGTAAACAAAGTTCGATGTCCGCTGGGGATCTAATCCTTCTTATATGTGTTCAACAGACGGTGTACGGAGTTTTCTTGCCTCGCAGTATACCAATGAATGTGATAAGACTAATAACCGCACTAAGTTACACGACAAGGCGCAATCTCAGCCTATCGACATTTGGCCTACGCTACCATCGGAACGCCAGTTAACAGCGTGTGTGACGTGTAGTGGCCCCTACGAAAAAGTGGCAGGGCGTCCAGACGCCAAATCACATGTCTGGTCGAGCTACAATACAGTTCAACCACTGAGTCCATAGAATACGGGCATAGTTTTCGGGACGACATGCCTTCGAGTGGAGTTCTGAGCAGCATAGCCCTAGCTCATCGACGTTTCCTAGCAGACCAGGTTATCTACAATGGAATAAGGCTCTAGATGCCACCCTAAAGTTCGCTGGAGACGTGAACGTAAAAACATGAGGGCCTCACGTCGTCTTCCGCAAAGCCGTCTTGTCAGTGGTAGCATGACTTATTTCAAGGAAACCCAAGCTTCCCTCTGGCTAGCTTGCCGAGGGCAGTTCTTCGCTTTAGAGTAGCTATCGAGTGACGCATCTCAAAGTGGCCTGACATGTGAACGCCAAGGAGACGTCGATTTTTCGATGCCTCCTTGGCAAAGCGTCTTGGCGTCGGACTTAGCGTGGAACGCCAAATGTACCCTCTAGCTCATCCGACACGTGAACGCCAAGGAGGCGTCGAATTTTCGATGCCTCCTTGGCAGAGTCTGATGGAGTCTGGCCTGGATGGAGCATCAGATGACGTATCTATCAGTGTGAGTTGAGAGGTCTCGAATGACAAGGGCGAAACTTGCTAAACAGGCAGCATCGAAAGGGCACGTGAAACCCAGAGATTCGAAGGCGGTCGCGTCGAATATCATTTGTCGTAACCAACGAATCTTCGCACGAGACTTGTGTCGAACAACCAGGTATACCGAACATCACTGAATATGCCAACTCATATGCCGACCGATACGACCGCGGAAAGATCATGGACTCACTTCATCGCCTCGACCGCGCGACTGGAGTAAAGGTTGCTTTCAAGATGTTGAGAAAGTGGATATCCCGCAAAGTGTGCCACAAGAGCGGCAGCCTCTATCTTGCGACCACATCTTGATACGGAGCATTTACACAAGGTGCTGCAGTCCCCGAGTCGCTCGGCGTTTCTATTAGCGGGCGCTTTAACACATTGCACCTTCTCTATCTCAACCTTTCATCTTCTCTCTCGTCTCCCTCTCGTGCTGAAACTTGTCAGCGGCCGTAAACGTCCCGGTAGCATTGGTTCATATCGGGGCAACTATGGACACCAGGTTAGACTCCAACACCTCGGTAGATCTCGCAACACGGTAGATCTCGCAACATACTGTACTGGGTCCATGCCAAAGATGATATGCCAGAGGTACTCGAGAATTCGGCCGCTAATATCATCGTTGAGCGAGGTGTCCATGAGCCATTGATGATACCGTTTATAGTCCTCCAAAGGTCGTTTCCACACCTGCTCCCTAGAGACAACAAATTGAGCACAGCAGGGCGTCGCAATGACATCGGGTACATCGCTGAGCTCGCCGAAGAAGTGACGCCATACGAGCGGCATCTGACACTGGACGTTGTTGGGATTGTTGTGTGCGCTGGAGAGTGGTCGGACTTCATCAGGACACCCCGGAATCCAGTTACAGCGCAAATTCACGTATCCATAATGTTTCACAGCATCGATTCGTAGGGTCTGCATCGCAAGGACATTGTCATACCCGGGGACATCGGTGTGCCAGCCCACAGGATATCCATCTCGATGCGAATGCAGGAACGCGATAATGGCTGGCAGGCGGTCGTAGTGTTGGATGATGTAGAGCAAATATGCATTCGCCTCTCTTCCTTTATTGTGGGGTGTAGAAAGAGGATAGCTGGTATTGTCTACGGTGTAGATTGCGTTTCGCCAACTGGAAAAAGCCACATTAGCCACGGAAAGCCAGGAAGAATGCAGTCTGTTCAAAGGCCTACTCTGGTAGATGCTCGTCAACCCATCCCGTATCTTCGCGCTGTAGTCTGCCCATTACAATGACCTTGCTATCCGTCTGAGCTTTGATGACCGGATGCAAGAGCGTTGGGAGGACGTGTCCAGGTATGGTCTCGCCCAGAGCGACTTTGGTGTTCCGAGGTGAGTCTATTGCCTGTATATCCAAAAGTGCCGTACCAGTCTCTGGATAGGTCTCAGTAGCAGCTTTGTACCAATCTGTCAACGCGACGTGGTGCACTAGAGCCGCGCTGAGGTATAGGAATGCTAGGAAGAGGAATGTTGCGATTAGGGTTGGTTTATTGAGACATCTAACGGAGGCCATGGCAGAAGTAGTAGTCAAGGTAGGTGATCCAAGCCGTGGGCTGCGTGTAGAACTGATAAACGAGTAAGAATCTGGCGTGAAGGCCTTCAGCTGCTCCTCTGCTTCTCATACGCGGCTGGATCGCTTCCGATTCTGTTATCTCGAGTCTTGTTGCTGTCTTATGACTCGCATATTGAATAGACCGCCGTCTCAGCACGAGGTAGGCCTGTTACTTTGGCGAGGACCCACCACTGCGTGCAGGAGATCGGAAATTGGACATCGTCGCAGGCTCGAATGATTCCGTGAGATGTGCTTTTGTACCTATTCTATTAGTATTGCCATTGACATTCGGAAGTTTCAGTGCCCTAGTGGCTTTGCAGGTACCGTATGTTACAACATTGACTGTTCGTGTATCCATACTCACCATACTGGCCGCTATGTGAGCTTTGTCTCTGAATTGCACGTACGTGAAAGTGCGGGTGCTACTTGCTAGCCAGTCGTCCGGATGAAGTGCAGGCATGGACAAGATCGCGTGATTCTCATCAAATGGCTTTGAGGTAGCGGAGTTCCATAAGCGAAGGTGATCCTGGAACACAATTTGGTGTGATCATGCGAGGCTGAATTGAAGGTTTGTGAAAAGTTAGAAAAGGGGCCGAACTCGAGCCGATCGGAGACTCGTTGGGGTGCTGCCGGACGCAGCCCAGAGGAGCTAAGCTGAATTAATGAACATCATTGGCTAGAAGCTCGTTGACGCTACCGGGGGTCTTGCTCATCTGCACTGTGCACCTCTGCAGTCCTGCAGCTGTATTCCTCCCGATATGCTTGGCCGCTTGCTTTACTGGGGTTCTTCTAGCATTTGCCGCTCGTTCCTCTGCTTCATGTCGGCGTTTCGCTTCCCTTCCTCGCTTGCGCTCCGTGATCATCGCCACCCGCAATAATAACACCAAGAAGTACATATAATCGGCCGGCCCCGCATTACTAACTGCTGCGGGAATGAACGAAGTCCAGGGAGATCTTGTTGCACCCAGCAGCGGCACATCCGATTCGGGGGCTAGTCTCCCTCCACATCGCTGGACATGCCGGCCTTCGTCGCCCTCTAGGTGACGTCCGGTAGTCTAGCCTCATAGATGCCCAGTCATATATTGTAGCTATGCAGCAACGCAACCGCGCGTGTGCAAATCTACCTGAAGTTACATTTTCTTTCTGTGCCTACGCCCCCCCTGTTTCTAACTCGAAACAAATACGACTACCTTATGATGCAGCAATGTACCGAGCTCTCTCGCGGCAGTCCCACAACGTACACTCTTCCATAATATAAATAGGCTCCGGCTCGCCAGTACTCACAATGCATAGTGCAGTCATGTGTCGGTGGACGCGACGGACAGATGTTGTTCTGTTTTGGTGAAGTGCTTTCTTCAAGTCGCGAGTCAACCCGGCCGCGTGGGATTTGTTGATCTTGACTGGGCGCAAACCTCGAATACGTATTCACTAACGAACTGTCGGCGAATATTTAGGAGAGTACGACAGTTTGTGAGCTGAATTGCCTGGCAAACAGAGCCTCTTGTTCCTGGTTTAGTCTAGTGATGATATTCTGCTCTCGTCACGATCTGCTTGAATCAACCTTCTAGGCGAGACAGCCTACTTCTCACTTCTGGCTGTCGTCGTACATTGGCTGCGGTTCTTTTCTCTTCCGTCCTCGCTAGGCATGCCAGGCTTGACTTGAAGGCCACTCTCCGGCTGATGGTGGAAGATTATATCAGTCACCGTTCGAGCGAGTAGAACGAGGGTATCGAGCTTCACTATGTTAGTTACCTCTAGAGAGAAGTACAGATATCGAACCATTTTTTTTTCTAATATCTCGTTGCCCCAATCTCTACGTGTCTCCCTTACGGCATTGCTATATAGCCGAATGTAGATTCTGTTCTGGAGATGTGCGATGAGGTGGATGAGATCGAATATCGTTTCCTCAAATAAAAAAGATCAGTGTCGGCCCCGACCTGTGGAACAAAGCCGGCGATGAACGGTGTATAAGTGCAGGTAGGTCTACTGTACTTGTAAGGAGTGGGTCAAATTGGCCATCGCTCGATATTTTGTTGGCGATGTCGAGGAGTGAGCAAAGCGTCGAAGGCCATCGTCATCAAATGATTTAAAGCTGTATGTAATACCAGAGAGCGAGTGGTACGCTGCTAATGGCGTGCGGAGATATGCCAATCAGGGATATCGCCATGACGCACACTTACTTAGCGACAGCGACAACAAGCTGCAGCTACGCAGCGACTTCCATAGCCTGTGTGACAACAGAACTTTCGTCTTTGCGTCAAAGGTACAGTACTTAATAGAATGAGGACTTGATCGAGTAGGACTGAGCCTCTGAGCAACGTTCAGCCTGGCGCCAGGTGAGATGAGGCGTACATGGTCTGGTCTTAATCTCTTGGACGTGAAACAATGTGCTTGTTTCATGCTTGTGCGCTCTCCACGAGTGGGAGCTGTCCTGCATCAAAGAACGGGAACACGACTTTGATCATCGAGCGAAACAGACCCCTTAACGCTGGCAACTGCGCACTATAGGACACATTACATCAGATATGAGTAGTAAATACTGCAGATCGAGCAAAGCACTCAATCCTACCCCAAAATCACCCTTGTCGCGACTGCGCGAGCGACTAATGGCCCGTACGAAACAGACCGCAAGTATGTCGCCACATTAGCTGCACCAGAACGCTAGAGGCTGTGGCAACGAAGAATCCATCCGTGCAGCTCTTCTCATCTCTGGTCACATCTTCCTTGCTGATTTTGGTCCTTTAGGTCGATCCACAGGTGGCAAGGCCCCACGGAAGACACCAATGCGATCAAAGGGTGGACTGCGTCTTGCCGGTTCTGTGAAGAGGCCGCGGAGGTACAAACCAGGTAACACCATAGATCATTGCGTCGAAAGGTCGTACTGACCCATGTGTAGGGACGGTGGCTCTGAGAGAAATCCGTCGCTATCAAAAGTCGACCGATCTTTTGCTCCGGAAACTGCCATTCCAGCGACTGGTTCGTGAGATTGCCCAAGATTTCAGGTCCGAATTGAGATTCCAGAGCTCTGCTCTTGGCGCACTTCAGGAGTCTGCCGAATCGTTCTTAGTCTCGCTTTTTGAAGACGCTAACCATTGCGCGATCCACGCTAAACGTGTTACAATTCAGACGAAGGACATGCATCTTGCTCGACGGCTACGAGGGGCTTTCCGCGCAAGATCAGCCTGAGAGCAGACGGTCAAGCAACTGACTTGATTCTCCGATGGACGATGAATCGACGAGATAGTAACGTGAGCTTGGTCCGATCATGGAGTTCCCAAATCTACGTATCGAAATTTCTCATGATTGTGCAAATAAGGGCACTCGTTGTCGGATCAATAGGTTGAAACATCTGCACTCGATTTTCCTCCGCTGCACGTCTCATTATCGTTGACTAGTAAGCAGTCTTCGCGTTTCACCTCGGCCAAATTCAAAAACATGTTCCACGGTGCTACTTGTGTTACAGCACCCACCGCCTAGGTGAAAGCCAGATGTTCGTTGACCACCATCTTGCGTGTAAAATATTACGTACAGGCAGGCTCGACAACGTGAGTGCCGAGGAGGCGTCGTTATAGCACCTTCTTGGGGTATAGGATGACGCTCTACTACATCGGCGGACATGTGACCGCCAAGGATGCGTCGAATTTTCGACACCTCCTTGGCAAAGCCTCTCAGAATCTGGCCTGGAGTGTTGTGCGTCGTGTCACAGCGTAGTGTAGTGGCTGCTGGGATTCCGGCGACGTCAAGGAGGCTTCGAAATGTCAGAATCAAAAGGTGCTGACTTCAAGGAGCGTAATGCGCTTGCGGCGCTCCAAATCGCACCTGAAGAGACTGTTGTCTTTCCAAGCCGCCGAGCCGTGTCCATGGGTCAATCGCAGGCCCTCAGCGAATGAATGTCGGGGCACTGCGGCCGTCATGGGGAGTGTGAGTGTTTTTAGCAGTACTGCTCGTCGCATACTTATAGCTTCCAAGCCTCCTATAGGGCGCTCGCACTTATGCCCGAGCCTATTAAAGACAACGTTATCCTTCAAAGACTTGCCTTACACTTCACCCTCGCAACCACATCGCATTATGGAAAGCGAGACACTCAAACAGCACCGCGATGGACATACTCTCCAGGCTTCTAGATCCACTCCCCATCCTATACACAGAAAAGGACACATTGGATGCCGAAGTGATGGTGCGCTTCATATTCGAAAGTCGCTGGATACCGGCAGGGACAAAACATCTTCGAACGCAATGTCAAGTGCTTCTGATCGGAGATGCATAGGGCCAGACAGCTACTGGGTTGGCTTATCGAACGGTCGGCTTCGACTGTGGACGGACAAGTGCTTGAGCGAAACCGGACCAGTGGGATCGCACAGGCCAAACGATGGTTGAGCACTTGGGGGGAAAGACGAGGCAGGAACTCGTGGCGTGATTGTACTTAAAATAGCTCTTACGTCGCACTGCTTGACGCTGTCAAAGCTGTTACTGCCAGTCTTGCTATGCGAGGACTTTCGGATGGAGTGCGGACTGTTGCAAAGCTTCTATGATGTGAACCCGAGTTACGAAGGCTTGTAGAGCCTTGACGACGCCATCACTGTAAAGATAAGTTTCGTCATCGACAAGTAGGACATAGTTTATTTCCGACTCTGCACCGGTGTAGCGGTACCTGCCGTATTTGCACCTTGAGGGTCGTTGAGAACAGTCGCCACGCGCATCAGATTGTTGCAGGTGGTAGCGTTGGTGATGCTGGCCCACTCGAAGAACCAGTGACCGGGGCCAGGTCCCTCACCAATCATGTAATCCATATAGCCACCCGAGAGAATGCCAAATTTCCTCTCGCACTCTGTGCGTTTGTTTTGAAAAAGCCTCTCCGGATCGCGCAGCTTCTCTGCGACTTCTCCTTGACCATCTTTCCTCAGCTCTGGTCCGTTCACAATCGGGTTCCGCTCGACCCGCTGAGACGCTCAATCCATCGCTCAGCCTTCTGATATCGCCATTCAGCGGCAAACGTGCGTCGACCACGTCCAATTCATCCTCAATCTTGAACTGCCTGTTTACCGCGTGCAGAACGGACTCCTCGAGCCGATGAAAGCGCCGAAATATCTTGCTCAACTCTTCAAACCGAATGCTTCGGTGCTCGTAGATGCGACGGACCACTTCCTCGCCCAATATGCGATGTAACTTTGGCAGATTCTCTTCTAATTTTGAGTCTGGAAA